ATATAAACTATAATATGTATGCAAAAATATTAGGGCAACCTCACACGTGCGCTTGGATACACGTGTGCACGCGTGAGTGTGCATGGGGGCACGCTCGCACGTGCGCTTGGACACACATGTGCACGCGTGAGTGTGCGTGGGGGCATGCGCGCACGTGTGCACGTGTGAGTGTGCGTGGGACACGCTCGCACGTGCGCTCGAACACACGTGTGCGCGTGTGAGTGTGCGTGGGGCACGCTCGCACGTGCGTGTCAAGCGTTACGTGTGTGAACCGAGCTGAACCGGATAGAACCAGATGGGAATCGGCGGTTCTACTCTAGAACCGGGCGGTTCCCGGTTTTGTGCTAGAACCAGCAAGAGCTGTGCCGGTTCCCGAGTCGAACCAGGCGAGTCCGGTTCGACTCACTGTTTTTTAAAACACTGGTCCAAAGTAATATGCGAGAGCTTATGTTAAATTTAGGAAACCCTAAATCTAGCATGGGATGGGAGGAAAGAAAAAAGGAAAGAACGCAACAGAATGAAGGAGAGAGGTGAACTCCATTGCATATACAGGACAACATCTCTACAAATCCATTGCATATACAAGACAACATCTCTACAAATCCATTGCATATACAAGACAACATCTCTACAAACTTCAGACAGGAGAACTGCCCTTCAGAGGGGCTTGCAAATTTATCAAGACCCCATCACCACGTGTATTGGCTAAATGGGGAGCGTCCTAATTGCAGTTTATTGCACACTAGAGCAATTTACCTTCATAAAGCCTACTCAGTTAATTATTTAGTAAGAAGGTTATCAGAGCCACCATTCACCTTGAGCTCTGACCCTGTGGAGACAGAATAGCTCAGTAACGAATACAATTGCAAAAATCAGACTCTAAGTTGAGTTTTACCCTCTTTTACCCATGACCCTTTCTAGTGAAATAAACAAATAAACAATTTATGATTGATGTGTTTCCTGATAATTCCGTTGCAGCTGCGTTAGGCAGCTCACCCTTAGAATTGCTATGGAAATTGAGAGTCCATGTATTTTATCATTCTGAAAATTACAGTGCTTCATTTCAGAACCTACTGGTTTAGCATGGCAGATTTTCAAGTGTTTTTAGCTGTCGATGGGCACTTAGGCTTGGACATAAAGGCATTCATGACTACCATTCACTTTTCAAGAAGAATTTATTACAACCTCGGATACCAGGATAACCAACTTGGTAGTGATCCCATGTTCCTAGAGTGGAAGCTTGGGTGCATTCCACTCCCATATGAACACAAAATCATTTAAGGGCGGTCGGTATAATTCGCAATCATGCTAGACAAATCTCAAATGAATATCAGTTAGAAAAAAAGTTATGTTGCAAAACCATGTTCTGTAAATTATTCAAAGGAAAAAAGATATCTCATCCATATCTATTAAAAAAAAACGTCTTAAGTACATGTCAATCAGAAGAAACAAATATTGATGCAAATCCTAGTAAAACATACTTTTTTAAGGGAAAAGAAGATGCGTAAATCCAGACAAATTTTAAAAAAGAAAGCCCTAAATGCAATGGTTTCATAATCGCATTAAAGAAAGAATAATGGATCCAAGTTTAGCAACTATGAAATTCATTTCTTTTCATCTCTTTGTGTATGTATTCATGTTCTATCTATTCTATAATTTCTTTTTTAATTTATAATATAAGGGTAGAGGAAGAAAAGGGCAGGACTTATTTTTGACATAAATCAATCAATTTCTTCTTCTTTTTTAATGTGTAACTATCAAATCAATCAATATCTTTTACTAAAGTTTGCACCATATTTATCAATTACTATGCAAGTTTTTTGCATGATAAGACTTGAATAAATAAATACAAGTTTTAAAACTTACTTGGAGGAAATAGATTTGTAAGTAAAATATACATATTCCGAATATATTTGATGCATATCTAAATGTTATTTATAAAAAATTTGTTTTTATTTCTCATTTTTATAATAATTATTGGAAGAGCAAATTAGATGACACTCTCAAACAAGGGAGCTTCTTGCCACTGATGAACCCCCACTCCTGCTCCTGCTTCTGCTTCTAAAAACCATGATTCCAATATACAATTCATCGACATCATAAAGACATGCATATCATTGATGTAAGATATATCTATTCAAGGAATCCTCATGATATCTTCAGATTTAGATTAAACTAGAAGTCATGTTGTAATCTAGTGTTTTAAAAACTGGAATAGGTGGCCGACTAAGTCAGGTAGCAATCTGATCACCATTTCCCATCTAAGAACTCCAATCCTGGGTTGGCGGAACAAAAAGTACGAAAAAAAAAGTAATGATATTGCATCATCTCCATTCTCCCTCTAAACTTTGATCTTTACATTGTTCAACTCGCTTTTTGCCATTTTCAAGCAAATCATGAGCATGAAAATGGAGATAAAACATTGTCCGATTATGAAAATGCAAAGATCACAAAAAGCCAAATTGATTTTTCTCCATGTTCAACTGATTTTTCATCCGATTGTGACAAATTAGTCATAGACTTAATGGCAAAACAGTCCCATTACTATTTTTTTATGAAAAATAAGCTATGTTCTTTTGAATTTCGCTGAAAATTTTGAATTTGGTGAAAATTTTGAGTTAATCATTTTCCCTTGATTTGCATCACTATGAATTTCAATCGAAAATAGGTAAAGCTAGATTTCTTCACCTGATTCAAAACTTTTCAGCCTGTTTCAAGCTAAAAGTTTATTTGAGGCAGCTTTTACTCCCAAAAATCTACCACAAAATTTTCACTCTTGAAAATCAAGGAATAGGTTAATATTTTCTCCTAAATAATATGAATTTGAATTATAAAATGTATAATGATCAACTTAGATGGTGATGATGATGATGACGATGAAATTAATAATGTTAGAAAGTGGGAGAGAAATAGGCTTTAGAGAGAAAAAATTTCGGGGGGGCGGGGGGTTGGTAAAAAAGACCCGAAAAAGGGTGAAACCTATGGGAGAACTGGGCAATTCATTGAATTGCCAGATTCGATTTTCTGGAAACTGCCCAGTTCACAACAGTGAACTGGGGATTTCATGCAAACTGAGCTGGGTCACCAGTTCAGAGCCATCAGGAAGCAGCAAGCCCCCAGTTACGAGTTGATTGAACAACTACAATCCGGCTCAACAATTTTTCAAACATGGATATAATCATTGTTTTTTCTGAAACAAAAAATACCGTTATTGCTCAGGAATGAAACCTCCTCATAATAACAAAGTCGGCTGAATAGACCTGCAAAGTCTATGATATGATAAAGTTCATACCTGCAAACTTGAAACTGCTAGCTCTGCTGCCCTCTCAAGGTTGTCAGGGTATTTCTAAACACGAAAATGCAGAAACATAAAGAGAAGAAAAGTATTTAATGAGAAACATTCCATTTTTAAAGTTACAACATTACTGCAGACTAGGCTCCTTTCAAGCTATCTAACTTCAAAGACTTACATTGCTCCAACCTAATAAGAGCGCAGTTGTTAGATCACCTGTTCCCTGCAAAACCAAATTCAACTCATATCGAAGGATGCCACAAGAAAATGTTCTTTTATTCGTAAGCCACAGGAAAAATATTGAAAGGACATCAGCAACAAGCGTAACGAGAATGAGAAACATATAAGATGAAAAAATCAAGAAACAATGTTACATGCCAACACTATTGTCAAGTCTCCACAGAAACAAAAAAAAAGTACAATGGAAGACATACAATAAAGTTCAAATATCATCTTCCTTTTTGAGGAAAACAATTTTTGGAACATAGACTAGCCCATAGACACAAAAAACAAATACATGATGGAACACGACCATAAAGTACAAATATCATTTCATGTTAGAAATTATTCTAGAACTTCACGTCTCAATAGTGCACAGCCGCCGACAAAGTAAAAGAACCATTTATAAATGTTTTATCCGTAGTATGTATCTCATTGTAATGCTCTTTTCTTATTCACACGCAACTGTTTTCATCAACCTCAAATTGATAGAAAATTCATACTCCTCGGAACATTCACAATCTATGGAGGGTACAATGAGTTTCAAGAGGTATTTCAAATGATATGTACTGTGTTGACCTGCTACCTAGCTAACGTTCTAAGATTTGCATTTCCAAGAGATAGTTGCGTTGCTCATTTCCAAAAGAATAAAACCTTGCATGAACAAAACTGGATGAGAAACGAGAAGAGAAGACCTCATCCCATTGAAGCATGAAAATTAGATCATAGCGGAGACAAGTATTAAGAGAGAGTTCACTACACTACCCTATGCAAGACAACCCATAATTTGCACCAGGAATTGGGGAAGGTTCCAGTGATGATCAGCAGAACGAAGAAGATTCCTGAAAATCCATGTACTCGATCGATCCTAGAAATGGGAAAACTACATTCCCATGGATAAGCATGTCATGAATTCCCCGCAAGACTATGTCTAAAAGCAGAAGCATGGCTCCCACTTCCCAGTGCAACATGGGCGACAGAAGAAGACTCCAACCAGCAGACTCAAGCCTCTCCAACGATGATGAAGTGATGAAGTATAACAATAAATGAATTCAATCTTCATCTTAGTGATATGAAGCAACTAAGCCCATCTATACACTCAAAAATATAAACATAAATAAATAAATAAAATAAACAACTAAGCCCAACTACGACCTACACCACTGATCACACCAGCAAAATTCTCAAAATATCATAGCATGTCTGAACATATTTCAACATTAGATCAATGATACCATAGACAGATTGTACCAGTTGATCAGACTGGTAGGAACGGGAACCAGTGTCCACACTCGTTGGACATAAGGTCGAGCATCGGTATGGACTTTAAACCGAGTCAAATCTGGAGTATTTCTAGTTCCATCCATATATCCAGCAGGTTCGAATGCTCCAAACCATAGTTACCGGAATCTCTCCTCAGACCCTGCGATTCCGATTTCGAAACTCGTTTCCGTTAAGGAAACTCCACGGAAGCCATTTTTTTGAACCAATGAAACTCGATTCCTTTAAATCAGAATCTTGATTCCGTACCTAGGTGGGAACCTTTTTTTTGCATTATAGGAACCTCGATTCCTTAATTTCGGAATCTTGATTCCTCACACATGTGGAAACCTATTTTCGGAACCAAGGAAACTCGATTCCTTAATTTCGGAATCTCGATTCAACACTTCTTTTAAAAATATTTTTCAAAACCAAGGAAACTAGATTACTTAGTTTTGGAATCTCGATCCAACAGATCTAGAGAAACTTGAACCCCCTTATTGTGAGTAGACGCTCCCAAATAGATTGAATCTGGCTTCCAGCGAGGTTTAAATCTTGATTCCATATTAAATGATACACGATTCTACATGTAATAGAACTCGTTTCATCAGGGTTATGAATCATCTACACCGTATAAAACATTGGTTTCTTGTACACAAAGTCATGTTTTATTTTCTAGCAGATATATTGCTTTAAGGTCCCAAACAATAGCATTAGGCGGCATGTGTACTATAAGGGGGTATTATTATTTATAAGGCATGTATTTTAGAAGGAATTTAATGAGATTGTATTGCTTTTTTAGTGATCTTTATTATGTTTCTTATATTTGCGTTGATGTAAACTGCTATAGTTTCTTTACTTTGCTCATAGCTATGTGAATTACTTAAGTGAACTTGCACGACGTCTCCCCTTGCAACATTGCTTGGTATTGTACTACCGATTGCAAAATGGTTATTAGTAATGTTATATTTTTTTCCTGATTTAAATGCCTATAGAATAATGTTCCTTATATTTGCGGTGATGTAAACTGCCTTGGTTTCTTAATCTTGCTCATATGTTATCTGAAATTATTAAAGGGGCCGTTTGGGTACCTGAAAATCTATTACATGACAATAGATTACAAGGAAATATGACATTTCCACTGTTTGGGTACACTTTAATAGTAAGGAAATGGAAAGAGATTACCCAAGATTTCCCAAAAAGTCACGAAACCCATTACGTACGGTGAGGGGTGAAAAATCTATTACGTGTCTTGACGGGTAATCTTTGATAAATCTTTCGCACGCGTCTCTCGCTACCCTATCTCCCGTTTAAAAAAGTGCCAACCCGTCATTTTCCCTAAGCCTTATTCTCTCTCTCTTCTTGAGCCATGATAACTGGTTTGCATAGGTACTCCCCCCTATCTAAACCTGCCCCCTCTCTCTCTTGAGCCGTAATAACTCGTTTGGTTTGCATAAGGTGCTCCCTCTCTCTTTAAACCCCCTTTCCCTTTCTCTCATCTGCCATAATAATTGGTTTGCATAAGGTGCTCTCTCTCTTTAAATCCCCTTTCTCTCATCTGGACTTTTTTCTTTCAGCTGCTAACCTGAAGAGAGAGAAGCAGGAGAGTCGTTGCTGCTGACCTCAAGAGAGAGAAGCAGGAGAGACCTAGTAAGCCCTATACAATCACAATAAAAAATTTCACACAATATAATCCTCATAAGAGATTAGTAAAAGCTCAATTGAAATAAGATACCTCTTTAGTCTCCTCCAATGCCTCAAAATTTTCTACTACAATTACCAAACCTTCTAGTTTACTAATCAAACTTCTTCCCATTTTTTAACTTGTACTATAAAGATTTTGAATTTGGTCCCATAAATTTATTGTTTATTTGAAATTATATAGAGAGACATTTGAAAGACTTCTATAAAAAATAGATAAAAATAAAGCTTATCACAATAAAAAATAGATAAAAATAAAGCTTATCACAATAAAAAATAGATAAAAATAAAGCCTATCACAATAAAATCATGTTATTCCAATCATATTAATCCAATGACTTATCATGTTGAAACCAAAGTCTAATCATGTTAGAAGACATGTGATTCCATGTAAGTGCCAAACGCATGCAAAATAAGTAGGAAATGGTATCATCATGACTTTAGAATGGTACAAGTTAATATCAGAAAATCTTTTTGGAATGTTGATAATGTTATTATTAGAAAATCTTTTGGAATGGTGTGATGATGACTTTAATTTCGCATTTCAGTGGAATTTTGTGACAAAAAAAGAAAGAAATGATAGTTTATAAGCACGTGTTGTTAAAATGTTTATAATGCATTTCTCATATTTCTTCTAGACATAGCCAAACAATAGCAATGTATTTCCCAGGTTGCATCTAAAATCCTACCCAAACAGTAACAATCCATTTGCAGGTAATGTATTATGCAATAATGTATTACGCCAACAATATATTTCATGGACAATATATTTCCAGGTATCCAAACGACCCCTAAATGGCCATAGAATAATGTTTCTTATATTTGTGGTGGCGTAAACTGCCTTGGTTTCTTTATCTTGCTCATATGTTATGTGAAAAGACTGCTTAAGTGATCTTACACCACGTGTAGCCTCGCAACATTGCTTAGTATTGAAATACTGAATGTAAAGTGGTTATTAATAATGCTAATTTTATTTATTCGACTCCAATTTAAATGCTTAAAAAAATATTGAAATCATTTAATAACATATAAAGCAAGACACATGGATTGATAATTGAAAGTTTAGAATTTATATATTGTGTAATAAAAAAAGTTATAATACTTCATAATAGAGAGAGAGAGAGAGAGAGAGAGAGAGGGAGGGGGAACGGGGAGGGGAGGGGACGGGGGTTAGTGTACGTTCGTT